TTAAAATTCAGAAGAAGTACTTTGTTGATATAAACGAGCAAGTCATCAGAATCAATGAATTCCCGAAGCATATCATTAATTGATAATAGGTTTGTAAACAATAGATGAGTTTGTCAAACCATATGGCATCTTTCAGTATTCGTAGTTCCCTCCTGACGCGGACGTAACGAAGCCTGTGTAGTGAATACAGTCGTCCCTGATTCTTATTTCATGAAGTCGCCATATCAGGGCCGGTGACGAAGTTATGTCATCCTAAAAAATCAATTTAATGGTCAATAAATGAAAACGGATATCTTTTCTTCTCTGTATTGCGAATAAGTGCTCGAAAATATTCTCCGTCACTGAAATTATTGAGCTGGCATATTGGGATCGAGATTCCCTAATGATGCCTTTATCTAAGAGATCTTTCATTATTTCGCTAACTTGTACTATCTTCCCGTAAAATAAATTGTATGGGCGATAAGTTATTGGAATTGAACTAGTAAGTTTGATGTTCATCTCACCTATACTGTACTGTAGGTGCAGCGGTACACGAGGAAATCCGAGAAAAGTGACAATACAAACATTGGTGATTGCAGATTACTACCTGGCAGAGGGATTTTAATAAAGAGTTTTCGATGGCTGGTACTTGATTAATCTGACTGATCCCCGTGAGTGATATACTGTTGTTGTTACTCTTACATACATTACTCCAACACGATTCAAAACATCTGTCGTTATTCATGCAGGCTGACGGTACTACTACTAGATCTTAAAATGAAATATTGCTGAACTCAATAGTTACTGTATTGTGAGGAAAGGCAATGGTTTCGTATTCATTAACGTCTCGTAATGTACGTCAGGTACTTGGATTGACAAGAAAGTAATTTAATAAGGTCAGAAGAAATCAGTGATATGATGTGATCACCAATATTGATAAATATGTTAATCGGTATGCACTATCAACTGCACGAACCACATCGATATTTCTCACCAGCTTCGGTTAACATATGTTTACGTTTTGGTAGTTAGTTAATCCTTACCTATTCTTGACAAAACATGCGTCTTCACAGTTTCCTGTAGTTTTAATAAATGCGCGTATTAAGACGACTTAGCAGCGGGATTATCATTTTATTCTGAAAGTTGTTAATGTTGGTTTGTTTATTATTACAATTCCAAGTTCTGCAGATAAATCCTTAACCAATCGTAAACGTTATAATGTACGTCTCACATTCCCAGCGTATGTCGTATATTAGTTGTATGTCGTGTTCATACATGCAAAGGAAATGTTAGCGGAGTCCAACTCCTGAGAACAGAGAGGTCTTAAATGAGTTTTAAAAATATCCATGTACGACCATTTGTGACCTATGAATTTAGTTATGTTTTGGCGTCGGCTTTTAAATAAGATGCTTCCCCGGAAAAATCCTCATGATCTTCCACTGTCCACTATCATTGCGCGATCTACCTCTAGACACAATAAATCAATCAGAAGAATCAAAAATTGACACGTAATAATGAAGCGATTTTATGAGTGCGAGATTCTTAAGGGCTTCTGTCATAATGGTAAAATACGAAACTGACATAGTATCGGGATAGCGAACAGTGGTATCTTGATCGTGAGTCGTAGTCTGAGGGACATCGCTCAAGTGAACTAAACTATTTACGTTTGGTGATTCGTTGCCACTATTAACTATGTGATTGTGACCTATAGACACATTTCTTACGACCGATTCAGCAACATTTCCTGATAATTATGTTGTAACTCTACGACACTATTATTAAACTGATCGACAGCTTTGAGTCTTACTAAAATGTTATTCAAATTATCGTTCAATGAATCACTTACAAGTAAGTGTGATGCGGGTGCGTGTTGAGAAAACTTACTGCTGCTCGACTCGTTTCTCGATCTACGACAACTTACTCGTGCTGTGGACACCCTAGGGTATCTATGTGGGCTAGATATCAATCTATTTTTCACATGGCGTAATCTTTTTCTAATTTAGATCGATTACGATTCATTTTATTAGACATAATTGTCAAAAAGAAAACAAAATACGGTCGACCAAAGAATTTATAAAAAAAGAGATCTTTATCCCACTTCTGAATTAAGGAACTTCGTTCGGATTTTTAAAAATAAAATACAGTAAGACATTTGACAATTTGACTATGCGATATTAATTTAAATGAACAAATATAAAAGGTAAATAAAGGAATGAAATGATAACCTGCTAACTCCAGTTAAACAACAATTAAAGTACTTACAGAGTAATATCCTTAAAATAGCCTTAGACTAATTGCTAAACCAATATTAATAGTCGAAAACCCATGAGCGATGTTGCCTCGACGGCGGACCACCAGAAAGTGCCGATGTTTCTTTTGTGCACTGCTTCTATTTTGTTTCTTTTCCAAGGAGTTCCTAACTCGGCTTCTATTTTGTTTCTTGACCAAGGAGTTTCCTAACTGTATATATAATATACATTTTATTCTCAACAAAGACAGAATACAGTTAAAAAATTTGTAAACCGTTATAATCAATATCGTATTTTATTTATTTGTCTATCGTCATTGATCCTCAAAACCTAAATGAGCACATTCTCTGTCATATCAAGTGGTTTTTACCTGTTCACAACATAAGGGCTTTTACAAATATTCGATTCGTTAATTAGCCATACAAAATGTCACACAATTGTTTATTACGCAAAATAATTTATATTTTTTACATAATAATTACAGATTTATCACAATTCAAACTATTTGAAGCATAAAATGCTTAAATGTTACGTCGACGTGAATTTAAACGCACTATAGACTCGCCACTTCCCCCTTGAATAAGTAACAAGACGTCGCCCCGAGTGACGATTTGAAATGAGATTATTTTGATGAGCAGAATTTACCTGAGACCTATTTCCATTAGTCTCTTTATGCCGAAATACATTAATATTATAAATTGAAATATTCTATGTTCGTATAAATATTTGTTGCTTTGGAAAATTTAATAAAATTTTTATGAATAAACTAATAATTATAGGAGCCATTAAAAATCTTCAAGACGTCTTAAAACCCTTTAGGTAAACGACATCAATTAGATGCTGGAATAAAACGAACAATAGGTATGACAGAGATGATGGATGACGTCACGAGAGGAAACAATCATAGTATTACAGACTGAAGGTCAAACAAAATATATATTATATAACAAACACGAAACATTAATATAAAATAAATATTGAAACTCGAGCTTCGGATAATATATCGATTTTAATACAGAAAACTTATTTATTTATTTGCATTGATTTAATTTAATCGAATTAAGCGTATTTTAAAGATAACTGTGTTTAAAGTAAACTATTATAGTTTACTTAATGTTTTTACAGCTTGATCCGAAAAGATGTGTGTGTGTGTTGGTGGCATCCTATCTCTGAAAATAATCGACCTATTTCAATGTAGCTTTCTTCATTTAAAAGATAATTTCTCTTGCGGTAGTTCTTACCTATAAAAATATGTAAGAGTATTAGTTCTTTTCCCAAAATGTGAGGCATTTTTAGCCTATCATTACTTGGTTAGCAATATAATAGTTAAATAGCAATTAATGAGGTTTTTTATTTAATAAAATTTACTTATTACGTTCAGTTAATATAAGTTTTCTTTCAGAATACCTATGTACACATATATGTTAGTATATACATATATAAATCATATATATCAATACTTATTAAAGCTACTTTTGTACATGATCCCAGACTATCCAATACATGATGACGTCACTATATTGATTTCTTTCAGCCGAACTGTCATCGTGACGCGAGTGTTGTAAAATAATTACTTCCAAAATATATCTAATACAACATTAATATGTAATTTCGTAAGAAAAAACGAAACAAAATGACTCCGCCATGAAACATAGTAAAAATGTTACAGGTAAAATATTAAACGTTCACAAATTACAAAAATATAAGTAGATGTTCATACTGTTATCGCGTAATGTGATAATTACGAACGTAATAGCACACTTCTCGAGAAATAATTACGAAGCCGCGATGACGGAGAATTGAGTTATTAATAGATATAAAGATATTTAGATGTAAACATGAAAATAAAAATGTTGATTCAATAACATATATAATAAAAAAAAACTTTACAGGAACTATAACAATCCTATGAGAAAGTCGTGTTTTTTACACTATTTATAACTTAGCACGGCTGTAGGGATATGGTTGAAACTTGGTGGAGATATAGCATAGAACCATGTGCAGGATATTTAATTCTGTTCGATTGAAAAAGAAAATAAATGAATAAATTCCAATATCTGGTTATTTATGGCCTCTAGAGCTGAATATAGCTCGCCTGATCAGCTACATATGTATATATTTCTAATTCCTGAATTAACGCGGACTAAGTCGAAGACAAAAACTAGTTTCTTATAAAACTGTTATATTCGGCTGAAAAGTTTTTGATTCATAAAATTTCTTAAAAATATATTACGAGTATGAAATTCGCGAAATAAACTGAGCATAACCTTCTTATGGCCCACTTCCTAAATCAGATTTTCAGTGAACTTGTCTGAAATCGTGTTTATGTAGATTGTAGTACATTAAGAGGAGATTTTGTCAACTTTATTGCTATATATTCCATGTTAAGAACTTAGAGAAACAATTAAACAGTCATTTAACTCAATGTTATGTTAAGAAATGTTAAATTGTTTATATTTTTACAGGAGAACGTATAACTAAATTATAATTTTTATAGTTAAATGTACAGGAAGTGAATAACGCCATCTCGTGACAAGTAGCGAATGCATAACATGTATTAGGTTTCGCAATTTTCCACTAGATGCTATTTTATTTATAAGGACACTTCAAGGGCAAATGTTGATACAAATATACTCTTCCTTTTCATGAAATTAACCACGTTTTAGTAAAATCGCTAAAAACATATGTATCTATATATATAATTATGCTGTATTCATAAGATTCTTGACAATAGATTCTTGAAGCGAAATAACTTTTAACAATGACGTCAAAATGAAAATACAATGCCCTATGCCTCGAGCTAAACTTAGAACCGCTTGTTCTTTAAAGAAAGAATTTTCCATTGTGCTGGCAAAGGGCTGTGTTCAAGGACATCAACCGGCAGCCCTCCACTCGAAGGCTGTTTGTATAGCCGATATTGCAGATTAGCCCACATTTCGACCCTCACCTGAAGCGGTTTTGATACACTTATAATAACGTTCACGAATGGCTACGTTACAATTTGTTAAAATTTCCAAAAATCCTCCACAGATGGCGCTAAACACAATAACATAAAAATATTAATTAAATCTGATAACAGAAAAAATTATAATAAAATTGCATTCAAATCTTGCATTCATTAAATTTGAATGTAATAATTAAAATTTACAGTAAATATCACAATTTTATCGTATTAAAAATCCACGTCTAAATATGGAACGTCGTTTTATGAAAATTGGAGCATAATTTATTGATGTATTGTAAGTTAAGACTAGGACAAGTGAATTGCAAAGGACAAAGCGGCTAGAGGGGGGGTGCGTTAGGTGTGTGGCGGGCGGAGGGGGGGTAACGACACTTGCGCCCATGAGGCAGTGCTCGCTTAACTCCTGACCCATGCGCATGTCCCATGCGCCCTGTCCTTCCATTTCCACTCAAACTGAGTCTCCGTTACATAACTTATATAGGGCACTTTAAAACATAGTGATAAGATTTTTCTGTGATCAAATTTTTTGCACGTTTTTTATAATAAGCATAGTTAAGCTAGTTATATAAGCCGCCGTCCACGAAGCTTCGCTTGCCGCTTTTGTGATATTCGGTTGTGATATTGTAGGCAGGCTTTTTGCTCATTAGTTATATTGTAACGGAGACTGTTGTCCGTCGCTTATCACCTATTTTCCTTACAATTCCCTCCCGTAATCTTCCCGGCGAGCTCGTATTAGTGTGTGGTATAGTCGCGTGTGCGCGTTCGTCGCACGACTTGTTGCACGCGGGTGGCTATGCGCGTGTAGCGCTCCTGACTGTGGCTCGTCACGGCTTCGCTCGGCTGGTGGCCGCGCGCCACGCCATCTGGCGGCTGCGGCGCTCCGGCTCTCAACCGACCCAGGACACCAATGACCATGAACATACCAACCACCTGTACGTCTTCTTTCTTCTTGCCAGCTTCTGTCTGTTTAGCTTTCTGTGTTTTTTCTTTATTTCTATTTCATTCACTTCATTTTCCACTTGCCTCGCTGAAGTATTTGATTCGAGACCAGTGGATCTGCTTGACTTTTTATTTTCTCTGCTCTCTTCTTGCCTTCTCTTCTATTCTTCTCTCTGTCCTATAATCCTGACCAGGTGAACGAGATGTTAATAAATGTATAACAGTAAATGTGTTTTATTTTGCGCTTTGGTGTCCATCACTGATATCCTGATAAATGTCTGTAGCCCATCATAAATATGGCACGATCACATGTGTACATGTTCATGTAGCTTGAATATTGATGTTGTAATATCATTATCATTTAAGCAACACAAAGTTAATATAAAATAAGAAATTCACATAATTATAATTCATTAATAAAGCAGAATTTTGTCAAATAAATACAACCCAACCTTACCTTCAATATAGCCGTAATTTAGGTCAAGGCGTCTTTTTCGCATGGGTAACAGAAAATAAAGTATTCCCTTCGTTATAACGATTGGATTACCATAGCACTACTTTTTATGTATCATGAAACGAAGTAAAATACCTTATTCTGAGAATCTTGACGTTTTGGCGTCATTTTTATTCAGACGTCGACTATACTACTGAACTTGGAATTAAATACGTATAACGACTTAATTTACCTTAATACAATTTCCATTAATATGCCAATATTTTAAAGTATTTATTTATTTCAAACCTAAATCTAACTACAAAGATACAAACAATTGTAAATCTTCATAGTATGTGAATGTAGCACAGGCATAAAATCTAACTTAATAATAAATGAGTATTACCATAATGAAATAGAGAGTAACAATCCGTTTATTTGTATCAAATATTATTAATATGTTTCAGTGTGAAATATTAAATTGTTTTAACAGTACGTATCGACGTGAGCGGTGGGGAAGGGGGGAAACATGGTATATTCAGGTCACGTTCAAACAAAAATTTCGAAGAGAAATTCATTTCTAAACTATTTATATATACAACCTTATTTACTTGCATGTAAGAATCAATTTACAATGTGCCAAATGAAAATGAGAGTTATGTAGTTCAATGCTAGTATTAAAAATGTTTTACTGAGTAATATATATATATCTAGTCTGAATGGCAATATACGTCCCACGTAGATGATGACGTAAAAATTCCGTAGCCGTAGTCAGTGGGCGGAGGCTCGTAGCGACGCCTACGGAACGTAGACCATATTCCAATTCCATTTCCAATGGTAATTGACGTAAATACTGCTTCCAGAAATACCAGACATTCTACGACATTTCTGTAATAAATGATGACTTTATTTTATACGTGACAGTATTTTATTACATATAAATATATTTATATATAAGATTATACATATTTTTTGACAAAAATACATAAAAGACAATATTTTCAATATAATTTATTCCGATAACGAATTCAATAAGGCGTCAGAACCGTAATGTATTGGACAATAATGTTCTACAATACGCTAACTCATCGCCAGAAATTGAATGAAGTTTCCTTAAACGATTAATTTTATTGTTAAATCAATATCTAGTTATAAATTAAGACAGGTATTTACTTTTAAATAAATAAAAATAGCATTATCCAAATGCATTTTGAGATAATCTCTTAACTGGATATAAAAATGATAGCTGTGTACATTTGTATGTATTGTCTTAATCTCAAAACGAAAGAGTTTTTTAGATTCATTTTATATGAAGTACTAGCTCGAGAATGATTTAGACTTTAGCCCTTTCCCGAGATTCAACAAACATGGCCGCCACAGTACATGGCAAATAAGTCTAGTTTTTACGTGAAAATTAAAAATATTTTTGCATTTTGCTTATTTCAAATGTGTATATAACACAATTAATTTATTTATATCACCCTACTTTGTATATTTCTTAAATATTTCTTTAATATTTTTGTTGTTTGTCGTAAAATATTATGAATAATAAGTTAAATTAAAATTGATTATATTAAAATTTTGTATATTAATAACTCATACAATATTAAAAAAGCCGATATATCAGATGAATATCTTTTTAATCTTATTTAATTTTAAAGTTCACGTACATTTTTATATATTCGTTAAAAGGAGTAAAAGCGTTTTATTTACTTTCCGCGACCTCTTGACCTATAAAAGTGTTACGCAACGAGTGCATTCAGTGTGAACAGTTTGAAGTTAACATGATTTTAGACCTTATTCATATTAATGTACGGCATGTTGTTGAAAAAATATTATATATTAACATAGAATAAATGTGTGTGTGTGTGTGTGTGTGTGTGAATAGGTCAATGTGTGTGTCACTCAAAACAATTATTATATAAAAACTCACTTAATACTAAGGATTACACAATAAAAATTTACGCTTAAGTCACAAAGTATGACCAATGTCTATCCTTAATTAATTCCAATCCTCATCCCGATTGACCTCGCATCTTCCATCCCTATCCCTGTTGACCTACAGTCAGTCTACCTTGTCCCGTGAATCGCAGACGCGGCGTCGCCGGTATTATTGACCGGGTTATAAATAGACCTCCGCCATCCCTCTACGTACGAAGGATTTCACCTAATTCACAACTTGTTTGAACATTATTACGTATTGTTTTATATATATGAACAAAAAATGCATTCACCATACGAAATATAATATACATAGCATAATACTTGAAATAATTTTATAATAAAAATGAAGCTACATTATTAATTGTACTACCTAGAATTCTTTATTTATTTTATCGAAGAAAATATAATAGAATTCCTATATTAAATAAATTATATACATACAATAATAAAATTTATCGTTAACACAATAATATTTGGGAAAATGGTCATAAAAATAAAACGTTTGTATTCATTGTAATAATTATTTATAAAGCGATCCTATAAAACGGCTCGTGAACAATGTACAACGTCATGGGGGTCTGGACCCCAAATTACGGGAATATATCGTAACAGTAACAGATATACCGGAATGGGCTCGTAAAAACCTTTACGGTGTACTTACGGTGAGAAATAAACAATAATGATCGTGATTGAGTACGCAAATTAGGTTCACGCACAAATATTATACAGGGATATTTATTTTGATTAAATTTATCCAATTATTGTTAATTAGTTTAATAATATAGTATTATTGTACATTTTTAGCAGCATTTTGACTGAAATAATATTTAGCTTAGATGGTTTAGAGAAATAGAGTTTATTTATTCAATTTTATGTCATAGTATGATTGTTTTATTGAATATTATCTCATTTTTCATATATATAGCTCCCGAGGGAATAAAACGTTTAACAATTTATGAAATGATTCAAAACTTTCAAATGATATCTCCCAAGCGGCGGCCATTATGTTGCAAAATGACAGCTCACATTTTCGTTGCAATTCCGAATTGTTAGTAAAACTATGAGAATGATAAACATGTTTATTGTTTGCATATTTAAAATTTTGTAAGCTTAAGTCTGGTTTTAATGGTTGCAAAGTTATAAGTTCCCAGTGTACGGAAAAACCAATACTGGTTTATGAGACACTGAAAACTTAGATATAAATGTAAAAAATACCAACATAATTGTAATAAATACAATAAATAAATATAAATTAAAAACTACCATACTTACATTACAATGTTGGTGATGAAAAAAGTATTCGAAAGTTTAATTTAGATCTTTTTAAATGTGAGAATCAAAGAAATTAGCTATCTCATTAGATTAGTGAGCAGAAATTCTTCATTACTGTTAAATCGTATAGTGTAATGTTATTTCTAATACTCAAACGACGATAAAATTGAGATCCCATTAATTGTAGTAACTGATACAGCCAAATAATTGTTTATGGATCATATAACAACTGTTGTACAACACATTTTATTAATCCATACAAAAAGTAAGCATATATTAAGTTGACAAAGTCAATATTAATACGTCAGCGCCACTTCACCGCGCGAAGTGTAAATAAATAAATTCAGCACTACAACATAGATGGCGCTGAAAAAGTTCCACTACTGGATCATAGATGGCGTCACATCTATGAATTACATTCTAATTGTGTTTTTCCAAAGTTTTCAAGTTTTATAAAGGTAATATTTTATTGGATAAATTAAAACATTTCTACAACAATCAATCTTTCGACTAGACATATATTACGGTATAAGTTCAATTTATATCAGAAAAAACGATGTTTGTTTTAACCGTTACATTTTCATAGAATTGTCTTCGTGCCAAAACAAACATCTTGAATCGTATTCGGAGAAAATATAATGATATAAATACTCTTTGGTGAATTAAAGCGATTAAGGGAAAGCTGGTGATCGGTGGCAACCCTGACCCAGCACGCGAGGTCGCGTGTTACACCTCAAGCTAATCTAACTGCAACCCTGAACAAATACCGCTACAAGCTAAGGTTAAACTTTATAGAGAACTTGACGGTGTGACGTCATGACTATTAAAAGATTGATCGAAATTATGTACTCATATAATACATACATGATATTTATACTCACGAACATGCTTTAAACATGAATATAGCTTCAAAGCTGCTTTGAATCGGTCTTTTTGTAAAACTTATTCTCCGAAACGGGATATTACTTACTGGTAGATAATTTGATAGACTTTAGCGGGAATAACAGTCATTTAATTTAACCAACAAACAAGGTATATAAAAGAAATATTACGAGCTGCTAACAATAAGTTTTAAAACACACAGAAGCTATAGCTTATATTATGAGGAACTTTTAATTCAGGCTTAACCTGACCACAGTTTGTAACTCCACGAGCGACGTTGTTGCCGAACTCAAATTTTTCCAATGTTGAAATTTATTGTAACTAAAAAGTTTTCAAATAAATAAAATCCCAGTTTAAATTCGATATAAATTTTACTAGTTAGTTTTAACATTCAACTTTTACGCCGTTTATAAAAAATATGATATTTTATCCGTTTTATGAACTTATTTTTTATATGAATTA